AACCTTCAAAATGAAAAAAACTATGAACAAATCCTATAGCGTGATATGTTATATATATGTTTACTAGTCGTTTAATATACAATTTTGCAGTATACTAGTTTTACAAATACATATAAATCATTTAAATACAATTCGTTAATATCAGTATTGTGAAATAAGAAACATTATATATATATGAAATTAAAGATAAATCAGTTTTGAAGAGGATACAATCGAATGAATGAACATTCATTTTAATTATCATAAATTAAAACCTCATTTAGTTAATTTTTTTAATTAGTCGTTGATCCATGAATAGCCATTAGCGTAAATTATTTCAAACCTTATTCTATTCGAATTTTTATGAAAATCAACTGAACAATCTATTCTAGATGTTGCCGAAAAAAGTTACTTACACTAGTAGAAAATAAATGGTGAATTGTTTCGCCAAATTCTTTGCACAAAGTTTTGATCAATTGAATTACAGGAGAATCTTTAATTAATTATAATTGTCCAAAACATATATCAATCTTTTATCTACCTGTTATAAATACTGGTGATGAAACAATTTTATTCAAAATAACTGATGTTTGTCGTCGTACAGCTGCAGCTAAATCAATTTGCAATAGCATTTTAACTTCTTCAAATACCTATATAAAAAAATATATTTATAAAGTTCAATATGTTAATTAACGATAAGCTTATTTACCAAAAATGAATCTGCATAACCAGGAAATTTCTGAACAATATCAGGTGTTGATTGATTTCGTACATATTCACGACGACATGAGAATGTTTCTTTCCACAATTTCAATCTCGTTTCAGCATCAATTTCAGATACATCTTGTAACTGATTTATTTTTTCTTCAATATTGTTTGCAATGTGATCATTATATGGTATTACCATCAACTAGAAAATAAAGATGAACTAAAAAAAGATTCAATTTTAAATTACCTGTTTAAATCGATCTCTTTGAGCAACTTCGTTAATTCGTCGTTTTACAGGTCTTCCTGATCCAGCTCTTGAATATTTTGAACGATAATCCTGTACGATAGAATTATCTGAATGTTCAGAACGCTTTCGTTTTAACTTAGTTTGCAACGCGTCTTTCCATACGGTCTTTGTGTAAAAAATAGATTGATTTCTTATTGGTAAATAAAAAAAAACTTACGATATTGTTTTTGGTCAAAGGTAATCTCAAAAATTTAACAATGGCACTACCGATTTGATCGAATTGTTTTGGTGATGGATAACTAAATCAAAAAAAAGTAAGCAAAAGCTCGTTTGAAAATCTGTAGTTGTTTTAGAAGCTTTTGCTAAAATCAAGAATGTTTCGTTTCACATTGCTTTTTATACTGAAGATTAAAATAAGTGCTAATAATTCATGGTAGAACTTGTCGGATAATCTTAGTGTAATATTCAATTTAACTATTTTGAACAATTCATTTTTTATGATTTTAACACAATTAAGAAAAGTGTTTTCTAAATTGCTTATAGAGTATATTATCAATACATAAAATCTTTACTTTTACAATCAGCTCAATGAGATATAAGACAAAATTGTAAGAATTTCTATTACATATACGAGTCATCTTCAGAATTAAAAAAGACAATATGTACATATATATATATATATCTGTAAGAGTAAGAACAAAGAATGTACTTAAGCATATGATCGATCATATGTTTGAGTACATTTTTGGTTTATATTCTTACACTCATATATATATATATGCACGTATTATTTTTATATTTAATCTTTAAAGATGACTCGTATATGTAGTTGAGATATGAGAATAAAAAAGAAAGTTTTAATTTTTCTGAATAAATGTTGCTGGAAGCAGTTTTTTGTTTTATCTTTATCATGCACTTAATCTATTTGCTTTAAACTACTACTTACAAA